GCTCAGGAATGCTATAAAAAAAGAACATAATTTTTTTTTGGGATGCAATATCAATCTGAGTTTTCTTTTTTGGGACTGTTCTTAGACTTTTGCTTCTGTAAGTTAAAAATAAATAAATATTAATAACTGTATAGTGAATATGTACAAGTATAATCTTGAGTAGACTTGTCTGACAATCTCCAAGCAAATTTAATTTGGTGTGACGTGAAGTCATTTTCACTTTCAGTACCTTAATTATTTCTGAATTAACTGAGCTGGCAGTCAGTGTCCCAATCAACCTTCGTTAATCTTTTTGGCATGTTTTTATTTATATAGTGGAATGGAATGATAACCTTACCTCTGCGCTACCCCAAAGTCATAGCTTCCACTTTTTTGCAGTCTGAAATGAGACTTTTTGGAGGGATTGACACTGAGGCACTGAAGCAGCACTTTGGAAAGAAAGTCATGGAACTCGAAGAAGAGAAAAGAATTGTGCAGGTCAAATAAAACATGTTTGACTCTTTTTTTATGCTAAAATATATTTGAATTTTGATTGTTTAATATTCCCTTATTTTATGGCCGATATTCGTAACAATCACAGCAAGAGAGGGACCGCTTATTGGCTGAAGTCGAGAGCCTTGCTACTAACTCTGACATACAAGGACAAAAAATGCAAGATGTGCATGCGCAAAAATTAAAGTTTCTCGAAACACAGGTGATGCTATGAAATATTTAGATACCATTCTGTTCGCCTATCTTTGTGCTGATGGTTGAATGTTTCAATTATGAACTACAGATTTTAGATCTTAAGAAGAAACAAGAAAACCAAGTCCACCTTTTAAAGGCAAAACAAAAAAGTGAGGAAGCAGCAAAGCGGCTGCAAGCTGAAATACAATATATCAAAGCTCAGAAGGTTGGTTCTCTTTTCTCCGTATTTCAGACAGTTATGTAAACAATGATGTGAATTGTATAATATATTGAAACTTTTGGGTCTTTGTTACCTGGTTTTTCTTCATATGCAGGTTCAGTTGCAGCATAAAATAAAGCAAGAGGCAGAACAATTTCGACAATGGAAGGCTTCTCGTGAAAAGGAATTGCTACAGGTGCTTTACCTTCCATAAAAATATGTAATCTGGTCATCTTTAATACCTCCAATTTCACGGCTGGTGGGTTCCTAGTAAAGATTTTGTTATTTCCTTGATATGTATTATATTACAATTGGATATTGGAGCATTTAAGCAACTGGATATCTTTACTTTTTCAGGAGGGGTTAAGAGCTGTAATGTTTGTTGCATGCACTGTGGAAATTCAGAAATTTATGTTATGACATTCCTGTTAAATAAAGATGTATCATCATGTTTGAGAGAACTGAAACAGAATATGAAGAAATTTCAATAATTACAAACTTAACCTACTGTTATAAATCTCTGTCTTGAAGCCAATAATTTTTTTCTTAAATATGAAGTGCAACGATGCTTTCTTTTGGTATCATGTTGTTGTGTTACCTTACTCCATGGACGGTTTGGTCTTATGGGTTTCACCCATCATTTTGTATCGTATTACACATTTTTTCATGTCTCAAAGTGCTCTTGAAATTTTGGAATTGGTTGCCATTGCCAACTAGGCCCTGTAATCCTTTTGGGGTTTGCTTGTAAAGGCCATTTTATTTTAGTTGTGCTAATTCTTGTCATGTCATTGCTTTCTATTCTTGTATTATTTAGTGCTGGTTTTGAAGTTTGATTATGATTTTATCACAAGCAGCTAAGGAAGGAGGGGAGGAGAAATGAGTATGAACGGCACAAGCTTGAAGCTCTGAATCAGCGCCAGAAAACAGTAAATATTTATATTTGGAAATGCACGCTGACAGTTAGCCTTCCCTTCTCTCATTTCGAACCCCCAAAAAAAAAAATTCCCCTCTCTCTGAGCATCTATGTCTGCATGAATGTCTGCTACACCATGCATGCTAAATTGGCCAACTTTAAAAAGGTTTTAAACAAGATATATGCTATATTGGGAGTATGGGGTAAATTACTTTTTCTCATTGATATTAAAAAATTTATCGAATATTGCCAATCATTTTAATCGATCTTGCAGGTTCTTCAAAGAAAGACAGAAGTGGCAGCAACTGCTACCAAGCGGCTTAAGGAGTTGTTAGAAGCTCGCAAATCTGCTGTACGTGACAACTCAGGTAATTCTTTTTTTTATTATTCTTTTGGAAGTATTCTTTTGTTACATCATCTCATTTCCTAATTTAGTGTTGTCTCCATCAGTTAACCCCAACAAGCATACTTCAGCTAGCCAGGTAAAGATCTGTACTTTTCATCTTAGTGCAATTTTTAAATTTAATGTTGGGAACATCCGTCTGTCAAATCCAGCAACATTTTTATAGGTTGGACAGCTTAGGCTCACAATGACTCATCCCTTTTCATATCTGGAAAGAAATTAATGTATAGCCAAAAGTATGCTTATTATTATTTGCATGGCTTGTTGGTTTGTATTTACTCTAATCGATCGTTAAGCTTGTGGTTCTTTTAAACCCAGCCTGGAAAACCCTAAAGGAGATTTGTTTATTGACCTATTATCTCTGCTATAATTTTATATCAAACAATTTCAATATGAGTTGCATCTCCAGAGCAATGAAAGATCTTTACAACGGTGGCTTGATCATGAGCTGGAAGTCATGGTGCATGTGTATGAAGTTCGTTTCGAATATGAGAAGCAAAAGCAAGTGTATGTACTATTTTTCTGATACTTTCTGTATATTGCAATGAATATGTTTAGACTGGGATTAATGAGAAAGTATTGTAGGCGAGCCGCACTGGAAAAAGAATTGGCCTTACTTAAACAAGCAGATCAGCTTTCTTCTGAAGGGCAGAGTACCCAAAGAGTAAAGAGTGGATATTCCAGGTATGTCTACTAAATTTTTTGATGTATGTATACATAAATATGCAGATTTAAACAGACAATGACTACACATGCACAGTTGATATGAATGCAATACAATTGTCTTGTTTTGTAAGTATGATGCTATCTCCATTTTGACATTTTTGTCTTTTCGACCAATCAGAGTGTTATCCATGTCACTGGATGCAAGAATGGCAAGAATAGCTTCACTTGAGAACATGCTGGGCATGTCTTCAAACGTTCTTGTGGTGATGGCTTCACAACTGTCAGAAGCAGAAGAAAGGGAGCGGAGCTTAAGCGGTCGTGGGCGTTGGAATCAGTTGCGTTCAATGGGTGATGCTAAGCACTTGCTTCAATATATATTTAATGCTGCTGCAGAAGCAAGGTGCTTATACGCTTATACAACCTACATAGAATCTGATGGAAGCTATATTGCATTCTTAGGATTACTTTATTTCAACTATCAAGATACACATTCTTTGATGCTCAGTGAACTATTTAAGATTTTTTTAGAATAGTATATGATGTTTGGTCAAATATTTTGAGGTATAGTTTTTGTCTGAGTAAATATTACCTCTTTGCAACAGCAAATAAGAAAATTAACATGAATAGTCCATAAGTTGTGATTACAATGTGTGAAGTTTATAACTTGTTCCTGTTTCAACAGGTGCCAGTTGTGGGAGAAGAATATGGAGATTAAGGACATGCAAGATCAACTGAATGAGCTTGTAAATCTACTGCGAAAAAGTGAAGCACAGAGAAAAGAGCTCATGAAGGAACAAAAAGTCACAGAACAAGCTGTTGCTGTTGCCTCAAGTACATCCGCTTTGGTGAGACCACCTGCTAAACACGTCATGGTTTTCAACATTTCTTGCATTATAACTTCTTTGCATCCTTAGCTTGGGAAATTTATTTGGAAACCCTTGTTTTTAAGATCAATATGCATATCTACCATGATTTAAATGGTTATTTTAAGGCCTAACATCCTAATATCTGATAAAGCATTATTTAGTAAGCTCATATTTTACTCCACATTTTCTGTCTCAAATTTTTACCTCTCCGTCAATTTTTGAATTGTTCTTACTACTACTTAAATGGGATGGGACTCAACAGGGGAATTCACGCATTTCATTAAAGCACTGTGTCGATGATATGAGTGGTCGTTTATCTCCAAGGTTGCTTCCGGCACCAAAGCAGCTCAAATTCACACCTGGAATTGTTAGTGGGTCAATTCAAGAGTCGGCAACATTTCTGAACCAGACACGAAAGGTAATTCATTTGCTTTCCGGCTGTCTTTAGTGTTGTAATTCTCCTCCTTGCTTAAGAAAATAGTCATCATTGCATCATGGTGAGTGCAGATGGTACCAATTGGGCAATTGTCTATGAAGAAACTAGCAACGGTGGGTCAAGGTGGGAAACTTTGGAGGTGGAAGAGAAGCCATCATCAGTGGCTGCTACAGTTTAAATGGAAGTGGCAGAAGCCTTGGAGACTCTCAGAATGGATCAAGCACAGTGATGAGACAATAATTAGATCGAGGCCTCGCCCACAGGCTCAGATAGATATTATGTGATAACTTCATTTTCATCAGCTTCCTTTCATGTTGTACTTGTACATACATCTTGACTGCCATATATGATCCAACATATGGCTTGGTGAAAACAACTGTAACTGCCGGTAATCATTCTCCTCCTGTTATAAAATAGAAGCACAAAAAGCTTCATTTTCAAAATAATGAAACTGCATTCTTTGTTGCCTGCATTTAGGATGCAGGGGTGTTGTAAATTGGCAGGAGGATGGTAGGTTAGACTAACCAACTTGTCATGCAAGCAGTCTCACGAAACTTGCATAAGACGGCCAAATTGGAGTGCTGTTGCATCTGGTGGAAGAAGACACGGTCATGCAAGAAATAGGTGGTTTACGATGCTAACATCTGGTGTTGATTTGTTTTCCTGATTCCTTTTCCATATATCGTCCATTAGATACATAGGCATACCACTTAGTTTGTCAGAATTTGGCTTTGGCATGTGATCTTTTATTTTTGTACTTATTTTCTCTTTTATTATGTGACAGTTTTACTCAGACAAATTTTAAGTCAAATGAACATAGACTTCATATACTTTTTTACTTCGAATTCCACTTGGATGATAATAAAATTCAACATGAAAGTTAAAGCACAGTTTGCAAAAGATATGGAGAGTTGTTTTATTTATTTATGAATAAAGTGGATCTATGGATGTTTATCAAAATACAGCGACCTTGAATGAACATAGACTTCATATACTTTTTTACTTCGAATTCCACTTGGATGATAATAAAATTCAACATGAAAGTTAAAGCACAGTTGCCCTAGAAATCAGAGCTCATAATTTAGCCATAGCAATTCAGTTTTGCAAAAGATATGGATGGTTTTTTATTTATTTATGAATAAGTGGATCTATGGATGTTTTATCAAAATAAAGCGACCTTTCTGAACCCATACCCCATTCAACACAGAAAAAATAAAAGGATCAATCTGTCAGCTTATTACTCCATCCCAGCTACCTTTCATTCAATAGGCCAACAGGGATAGGTTTTCCACCTTATCCAACAACAAACTCATGCAGACCTGGATTACGTCACTTGGTCAAGACAATGCACCCACCCCTTGCACTCGAGTTTGGTCAGGACAATGCACCCACTCCTTAACACTCGAGTTTGATCCCTCTTCTTAGAGTGATTTTGTCGCTTGTATATTCAAGCTGCAGCAGAAAATTGGGTGACTCTAAAACTATAGGGCCCGCATCGTATCAACGGCCGGACAAAAATTGCCCACTTCAGAGTGAGCAATTGCCCTTACATTGATGAGGAGGTTGAGTGAGGAGGTGAAATCTCACCATCAACAACAAAAAACAAAGCACATGGGGGGTGCATTGGGGGCTCCACACCCCTTTTGATGGTGAGATGGGCCTCCTCAAATAAACTCCTCAAATAGCATCCTCATTATAGAAGCTCCCGTGAGCAATTGCCCTTACATTGCATAGGTCCAAAATCACCAACCACCAGCATATTCCTACCAAAGGGTCCAAAATAAACCAACCACCATCATATTCCTACAAAAAGCCCTTATGTCTTTATTGGCATTTTCAGACACTACCTTGCACCAAAAGCCACATTAACTTCCCCAACATTGTACAGTTCGTATGGTGAGAAACTGTTGTAAATACCAAAGCCTCGAATCATAAGCATTTATAAAATCATTATACATCTGCCATTTAACAGATTACATTGCCTGGTCGTGTGCCTGCAATTACAAAAATGCCTTCAAGCTTTCGCCTACAAATGAGTCGTTAAACCTTAGCCCCATAAATTTACCATTAGAACTTTTTCTCAGGAAATCCTCTGAGAGATACACGTATTAACACTAGCTCCTGCCTTCATTTCTTTCTTTGAATCCAATATTTGTAAATTCAGACTTTACTGCTTTGAAAATCCAACACCTGCATTATCCTCCGTCATCACACTCTCTTTAATCTCCTGTATCATCTTCAGCACTTGCCACATTGCCGGCCTCTGTTCCGGAGATGTCAAACTACATATACAAGCAACCTCAGCAAGCATTCCAAGTTGATTATCGTCCCCAACATCATCATCCCTCATTGCTTTGACCCAATCGGGCACGTCCGTGGGCACAAGAAGCGGATGTTGGGACGGATGTTTACCCGTCAAAAGTTCAAGCAAGAGGATGCCAAAGGCATAGACATCAGATTTAGAAGTGGCTCGACGGCTGGACATCAGATTTAGATGTGGCTCGACGGCTGGACTTGCGTATCTCAGGGGCTTTATAGCCTGCAGAGTCAGGATCTTCATTTGCAGAAGTGTCTGCAAAGAAGGAAAGGCCGTAGTCCGTGAGACAGGCCTCGAAGTCGCCTCCAAGAAGAACATTGGAGGACTTGAGATTGCCATGGATTAAGGTTGATGATTGGTGAATGTAAGCAAGGCCTTGAGCCACATCTTCCGCTATCTTCAAGCATGATGTCCAATGAAGAGGCTTTGCTCTAGATGATTTAGAACCTGTTCATACATAATTGCAATTTGTTAGCAACAGCTTATAAACAATTGGCTTGAAGTGCAAAGAATCAACTACTAGCTTGTTTTCTTTTATTCCTCCTACTTTTTCACTAACAGGGAAAATCACTACAAACCACTTCCTAATTGGTTACGAGGTTATCATACGTGCAATCACTCGCAAATCACCTCCCACGTAAACTCGAAAGTGTATGCGTACGTAAATTCAAAACTAAAACGTCTGAATTTACCGTCTCATGCTCATGAAATAATACAAGTGTAATATGATCCATACAAGTGTTTGAATGATGTCATGATAAAAATCATATGGTATGGGGTCAAACTTTGAACCATGAGCACCAAGGGGCCCACCCGTGATTGTCGGTATTAAGACAGAAGTGATATATGAATATGACTGAAAAGCAAAACCCAGTAAAACCACACGGACATTTTAACAAACAGAAAGCATGCAATAGTTTCAGCGTTTTAACCACACTTACCGTGAATGAGATTGAAGAGACTGCCATTGGGTTGGTAATCATAGATCACCAGCCGCTCTCCCTTGGCCTGAAAATAGGCTCTCACCGGAACCAAATACGGATGCCTCAACCCACCCACCGCATCCATATGTTCATCAAACGCTTCTCTGCTCGTAATCGCAGTCTTACCCGCATCCAATCTCTTCACCGTCACAATCAGCTGGTTATCCAGCACCGCCTTGTACGTAGTTCCAATCGTACCCCTCCCAAGCAACTCCGCCGAGGCTCTCATCAGCTGCTCCAAACTGTACAGCTGGGCCTCCCCATAACAAAACACCAAGTTCCCACTTCTCGGAATCGCTCTCGGTTGAGCTTGTTCAAATTCATCAACTGTTTTCACCTTACTGGGATACTGCATCTCCCTCTGTTCTGTCACTTGGGTTTCGTTTCTAAAAGCGTTCGGATTTGGATTCGTGTGAATGTGATCAATACCTTCATTCATGGAGGTTGGTTTCGTGGCTCCATGAGTGATAGTCTTTGTTCGGTTTCTGGCCACTGCAAAGAGGCATAAGAGACCGGCAATGAGGAGCGCAACCCCAATCGCGAGCCCGAGAATGAGACCAGTTTTCTTGTGATTTTTGGGGGAAGGTTTCGACAGAACCACTCCTTGCGACTGCGCACTCTCCACTAACGGCTCCGATGCCGGAGAGGTAGCACTCGCATTGCGAAATTCGAAGAAGGGGGCACGTGAGCTGCACGCCCTGTTCACAATCTCGCCGCAGAGGCCCGGGTTCAGCTGGAACGCCGACGCGTCGAACCGGGACAGAGTCGGCGGGACCGGCCCGGTCAAGTCGTTCGCCGAAACGTTGAAGACGAAAAGGAAAGACTGGTTCAAAGCGGGGAGGGTGCCGTTGAACCGGTTAGACTGGAGATGGAGGGAGGTGAGCCGGTCCAGAGCGGAGAGCCTCACCGGAATGGGACCGGAGAAGTTGTTGAAGGAAAGATCGAGAACGGAGAGGCGGTGGAGGGAGAGAATGGAAGGCGGAAAGGCGCCGGAGAAGTCGTTGCGGTTCAAGAAGAGGGACTTGAGGTTCTGGAGAGGGGAGAGGTCGGGGATTGGGCCGGAGAGCGAGTTGTTGTGGAGACTCAGGACTCGGAGCTGGTCGAGGCGAGTGAGAGTGTCGGGCGGAAACTCGCCGCGGAGAGAGTATGATTGCAGAACGAAACGGACGACGCGGCCCTGGGCGCACTTGACGCCCTGCCATTGGCAGTAGTCGAAACGCTCGTTTAGGGTGTAGAGGAGCTTGTTGTTGAGGTCGGCTCGGGACTTGAAGGAGAGGAGGGCGACGGCGTCGGAGGAGGGGAGGAGGAGGTTGGGCGGCGGCGGCGAGGGAAGAGAAATGGAGGGCTGAGATTGGACGGTAGTGATGAGGAGGAGGAGGAGGGGGAGGAGTGGAAACATAGTGGGTTTATGGAGTGAGGAGGAGGGGGTTCATGTTCATGGTGGGTTTGTGTAGTAGGGAGTTTGAAGTGGGAAGCAGCTGGGTGGGCGTGTCGAGTAGCGTTGGTGGAGTCTGTGTAGGGGTCACGTGATGGTGGGGGATAGGGCGAAGGGAGTGAAAAAAATTGTTGGTGTTGATGTTGGTTTCTGTAGGGAACTGTTTTCTAGGCTAAGATTTCTCGAGCTTTGCTTCTATTTGGCGCGTCAACTTACGTGTTTTTCATTACTGTGAAAAGGTTTAAAACTAAGCTACGCAATGAGTAATCATTTATTTGTTAAGTGGGTGTTATTGTAACTTCGTCACGTAGCATTAGCATGGTGATGTTGTACTATTAGGTTTACTTCAATTCTAATTTGCGTATACTTATTAATATTTAGAAATATGTTAGTATAAGTTGTTGTGAGTCATTGTAACTCAATGGAAAATGACATTAATTTTCATACTAGTAGTAATTTCAAGTTCAAATCCCTATAGCACCGTGGTATTGTGCATGCAAGAAACTCTATTTTCCTTATAGTTTATATTATCGCTTGTAGTTTTGAAATGGTGAATTTTAGACCTAGTACACTCATTACAATGTGTCTACTTTTAAGATTATCGGCATGTCATGTTGCATAGCATTCATGTCACACCCATAGATCTGTCCAATTACTGGGCTAAGGCCTGAAGTAAGAAATGCGAGGGGGAAAAGTAAGCAAGGTGGAGGAAAAGTCGTTAAAATGCCACACACAACACAAGGTTGAACAAGCAAGTATCCTCCATTTAAAAAATAAAAATAAAGATAAAAATAAAATCTTGAATTCATCACACGTTAAGCACAATAATTTCTCTCCCTTGATGGTAAAAAAGTTAAAACTTAATCATTTGTTTGGTGGTAGATAATTAGATATGTAGATAAACCTTAATCATCATTAGCTGATTCGTTGCTTTCCATCCCACCATGCCAAATTTGTACATTATTATCGTAAACCTCATAGGCACAGCGACGGAGATTACAACACACGCGATGTATGGTGCGTACCTTTCGTTGTGTAGAGATCACTCTTCGATGCTTGGAGCCTGGAGGTCCTCATATAATAATATATAGTTGGACCGGACTGGACTGGAGAATACTATTTGACCTTTGATTCTCATTAATGCTGTCAATAAGTCAGACTATCCATCCTGGCATTTTTAATGTTTTGTGGCTTTTTTATTTTGTTGCTCAGCATTTGCATGTTCTTTTGGTATATTTTTGGTGTTGGACAAATTGTTTCACAATTCTCATCTGGACAGAACTTGGTTGTTAATAGAGAAACGCTAGCGTTAATCGTCTATTATATTATGTTATGGAGTTCAAAATATATTAAGAATAGCGCTTGCTAGAAAACGAGTGAGTGACTGACCGAAGCACATCTGCGTAATCAACTCATCCAAACACAACTCTAAGCAATCAAAAGTACCCTCTTTGTGTCGGGGCAACAAAAGCCATTGCCTCTTTGTAGTACCTTAATTCTTGTGGGGAAAGTTTGAAGTCCAAAATCCTTTGTGTTGTGGGGACTCAATGGTTCTTTATCATTGTAGCTAAGATAACCAAGCATCTTCTTTTCGTGCTTCTTTTTTCGGAAAGGGTCATTCATCTGCCTCATATTTCTCACGGGCTCGAAATATGTGTCATCCTTGTCAAAAGAAAGGGTTGTTGTGCTTTCTTTTTCCTTTGCGCCATTTCAAACACAACAAAGCTAATGATTTTTTCTTCTTTTCTTTGTTCTCTTTTACCGTAATCAAAAGCTCTCCTTGTCAAACATGCAACGACTAATTTCTTAGCTAATCGAACCACAAATTTATACTTTACACACATAGCATCTTGGGGGCGGAGCTACACTATGGCTAGGGTGGGCTCCAGCTTAGTGCAAAGTTTGGGAAGAAGAAATTTACATTTAATTTATAGGCACTACGCCTCATTTTACAAAAATTAGCCCAGTCCATCCAAGCAAAAATCACTCTATTTGATCCAAATAGATTTCGAGTTAGCTTCAATTTTTATCCTTTTAGAAAATGAATAGAATTTTATTTAGATTCTTACCTATATAAGAATTAATAGCCCACTCCTATAAAAATTTATGATTCCGCCCTTCTCTCTCTACGCTTTTTAGGGCATCGGGAGTCGGTCTACTCTACCTCAATTCAGCATTGTTTTCTCCTCCTACTTCACAAGCACTAAAATACATACATACACATACATACTGGACAGAACATAAACAAATAAAAGATTGCATGGAAACAAACCACCAACTAAAGAGCAGTTATAACTAATAACAATAAACAATTCATTCTCAATTTTTTTAAAAATAATTTGATTTCTAGAATGCTTAGAGGGTGATTGTAAGGTCACCTTCAGTTTCTTCATCCCACATTGCTTCAGTTTTCTGCTTGCTTATTCAACACAATCTTTAAATCATACCCTCTCCAATATTCTCAAAACAGAAAACAGAGAAACAGAGACTCACCTTCCATTGTAACACAAGCCACACTCTGATCAAAGTGTCTCTCTCTTTCTCTGTTTTGATCTCTGAACCCAGTTGAGATGAAGAACATCAGCAACACAAAGCTGATCCTTCTCCACCCCTACATACAGAAACAAGGAACCTCCAATCGCCTCTGGCTTCTAGCCTTCATGTCCATCTTCACACTTGCGTTCCTTCTCACAATCATTTACACAAGCGGCTTGTACGCATACTCATCAACCACCACAACCACCATCTCCGCCGCAACAATAACCACCACAACAACCGCCTCCTCCGCCGTCCCCCAGCTCCCCACCACCGTCATCAACACCCTCCTCTACTACGCCGCCAAATCTAACGACACATTCAAAATGTCGCACGCTGACATCAAGCCCATCTCGGACGCCCTCCGGAAATGCTCAACCCCCTGCAACTTCCTCATCTTCGGCCTCACCCACGAGACCCTCCTCTGGAAGGCCCTCAACAACAACGGCCGCACCGTCTTCATCGACGAAAACCGCTACTTCGCCGCCTACATGGAGGAGAAGCACCCTGAAATCGACGCGTACGACGTGCAGTACACAACAAAATCGAAAGAGCTCAAGGAGCTGGTGGCGGTGGCAAAAGAGCAAATACGAAACGAGTGCAGGCCGGTGCAGAACCTGCTGTTCTCGGAGTGCAAGCTCGGGATCAACGACCTGCCGAACCACGTGTACGAGGTTGATTGGGACGTCATCCTGGTGGACGGGCCACGTGGCGACTGGCCGGACGCGCCCGGGCGGGTGATGCCGATATTCACGTCGGGGGTGCTGGCGAGGAGCAAAAAGGGCGGGAACGGGAAGACGCACGTGTTCGTGCATGATTTTGGCGGGGAGGTGCAGAGGGTCTGCGGGGAGGAGTTTTTGTGTAGGGAGAATTTGGTGGAGGCGAGTGAGACGCTGGGGCATTATGTGGTCGAGAGGATGGAGGAGGGTAGCTTCCAGTTCTGTCGCAGCCATCCATCATCGTCATCTTCATCGGCAAATTCTTCATTATCAGCAGCATCTTAGTGGTTGTTGTGGGTGGTGTTTGGAATTCATAGTAATAATCGTTTAACGTCGTCATGGTGAAAGATTCATCAGAGTGTTATTGGGATATGGCATGAAGGAGGTAAACCTGGGTTGGGTTTGGGTGTATATTTATGATTTTTGCTCTCCTTTTTAGATTCTTTTTTCTTCGTTCTTTTTGTTTTCTGTGGGTGGGGCATGTGAAAATAATTCTTCTTTTTTTGGCTAGTGCAAAATGTAATTTTTGCACTAAAATCAAAATATAAGTTTCAGTTACAAGCATTTTTCCTTTTTCTTCGTTTCCTATTTTAATTTGTGGGTTAAGTCAGTAAATCCGCCACCTTACACCTAAAGAGACCATTCGATTCGTTCCAGCTTCCGACAAAAAAACAAAAAAAACAAGAACATGCCATGTCCAGTCCATTACAGACTTTCGAAGGGTCACCTTTGGACAAGAATTTTATAGTGAGGGCCTTGGCCCTTAGACAATACCCTATCTCTTAATCATTTAATAAAATTGATTAGCCGTTGGATTAAATTGATTAGTTTGATTTAAAAGTTAAGAGATAAAGACCTCATCTAAGGACCTTAGATCCTCACTATAGAATGACTCCAATTTTGGACTCGATCAAAAAAATTGGGCTACGGTTGGCCTTGAGCTTGGCCCATTTAAGCTTGTAGACATTTATAGGTAGGGCGGACGCATCTCGGGACAAAGGAGGCCAATTGACCCATAAAAGTTTATACACAAACTTTGAAAAAGCCTACAAACTCACACGTGGGTTGGTAAGTTTATAGGATGTAGGTTTTATGTAAATAAGTAAAAAATAATGAATGCAAGCAACAAGGCCATGGCAAAAAAATTGTGTTATAGCTAATTGTTGAAGAATATAAGTTCCACATCGGAAACTTGACTAAATAAAATATAATATATAACGAACGGTTCCACTACTAATATTACCGAGACCTTTTGTGATAAAACCCTACACATATTGGGCTTTGTAGGTGGTTAAGTTAGAGACAATATCGGTATTGCTAGTAGTGAGCCGTTGACCTGTCTCTTTGAAATTTTACACGGCATCAGAGCGGGTTGATTGATTGGGCCTGAATTGAGCCTTTACCCTTACCCAATATGTAGTGTTCACATGTTGGGCTTGAATGTTTACCTTTACCCAATACGTGGTGCTCACGTGTTAGGCTTGAATAATTGACTCAGATGTAGACTTAGCTTCACATATGGCCCATTATATGCTGGTTGTTGCTAGTAGTGAGCCGCTGACCTGTCTCTATGAAATTTTACACTAATGACAATTCTACTATAGGTTTTATCATTCGAAACTCAGACATGAAACCAGTTATATTGCACGATCACAGCCACTAGAATACACCTCTGTTTTACAAGCTGAAGCAATGGTCTTAAAGCAAGCTTTAATTTGGGCTAGCCGCATGAAATTTTCAAAGGTAAAATAGAAAGAGATTCTAAAATACTTATACAAAATTACAAATCACTACAAAAAAAAAACTCAATTACCTTGGAGTATCCAATCAATTGCATAAGACATATGGAAGCTTTTGGACAAGTTATGTAAAGTAAAATTTCCCACATTTTCCTTGAGGCAAACATGGTTGCGGATCAGATAGCAAATGGGCACAGCTGTAATCATTCATGCTATAGTAATTTTCCTATTGATGTTGTTACTAAAGTTTATTTTAATTTGTCCCGCAGGATTTTCTATTTTCGAAAAAAAAAACGCCATGGCAAATAACGATAAAACCCGCGGCAAACAAGACAAACTACAACACATCATCCACACCCACATATCTATTAATAAATTAGCCCAACATTATAATTCATGATTCGCTTTTGAATATACAGAGGTGTATTCTTGTTCAAGTTCTGGAACTGAGAGAGAGAAACTGAGAGAGAGAGAGAGAGAGAGAGAGAGAGAGAGAGAGAGAGAGAGAGAGAGAGAGAGAGAGAGAGAGAGAGAGAGAGAGAGAGAGAGAGAGAGAGAGAGAGAGAGAGAGAGAGAGAGAGAGAGAGAGAGAGAGAGAGAGAGAGAGAGAGAGAGAGAGAGAGAGAGAGAGAGAGAGAGAGAGAGAGAGAGAGAGAGAGAGAGAGAGAGAGAGAGAGAGAGAGAGAGAGAGAGAGAGAGAGAGAGAGAGAGAGAGAGAGAGAGAGAGAGAGAGAGAGAGAGAGAGAGAGAGAGAGAGAGAGAGAGAGAGAGAGAGAGAGAGAGAGAGAGAGAGAGAGAGAGAGAGAGAGAGAGAGAGAGAGAGAGAGAGAGAGAGAGAGAGAGAGAGAGAGAGAGAGAGAGAGAGAGAGAGAGAGAGAGAGAGAGAGAGAGAGAGAGAGAGAGAGAGAGAGAGAGAGAGAGAGAGAGAGAGAGAGAGAGAGAGAGAGAGAGAGAGAGAGAGAGAGAGAGAGAGAGAGAGAGAGAGAGAGAGAGAGAGAGAGAGAGAGAGAGAGAGAGAGAGAGAGAGAGAGAGAGAGAGAGAGAGAGAGTAGTTTCTTCACCGCCATGGCAACAGACTTCAAGTCCATACCCATAATCGGTAAAACCTACTCATCCACCTAGCTCACTTTCAGCTCACATGCTACCCAAAAGCCAAAGATATCATTTTTTATTGATTTGATTGTGTCTTGTGTTTTCTGCACTTTGGTATCTTAATGCAGATATTGGTCCCCTTTTGGCCAAGTGTGATGATCCCAAAATGGGTCAAGACTCTGGTGTTGCTCAAGTTGTCAAACAATTAGATCAAGCTTGTAAAGAGGCTGGCTTTTTCTATGTGGTACTTTGAATTCTCTTCATTCAATTTGAACCCATGAAAGATAGAAAGATTTCCATTTTCTGTTTCATAATTTTTTTTGAGTGTTATGGTTTGGTGCTTTGTAATTGACCAGAAAGGCCATGGTATTCCTGAGACTATACTCAAACAAGTCAAGAATCTGACACGCAAGTTTTTTGAGCTTCCATATGAAGAAAAACTCAAAATCAAGATGACTGCAGATAGGGGATACAGGTTAGTTGGAATGGCTTCCTATATATGCAATTCGTAAATGAGGATCAATTTTTTTGATTTATGAATGATTAGCATCTGTATGCTTTATATTAACAGATGGCTGAATTTTTCATGCAGGGGATATCAGAGAATTGGGGAGAACATAACCAAAGGTGTACCTGACATGCATGAAGCCATTGATGTAGGTCTTGTTTGTTGCTTCATGATTTATAGGTGTTTGTGTAGCCTATGAAGTAATACATCGTGTAGTTTTATATTTCTGGATAATTTATTGGACCTGTTCTTTTTAACCTTTTGTCTACTGTCAATATCATTATCATTTTGTTTCACCTCTAACAGTGCTATAAAGAACTGAAACCAGGGATGTATGGAGATCTTGGAAAACCTATGGAAGGATGTAACCAATGGTATGCACAAATTAAGGCCTTTTCTACTAAATCTTCCATTACAGATTAAGTAGGCAAGAATGCATTCGAGATTCGTATCAATCAACTTTACAGTCTGTACTTATCTTGATTGCTAAAAGATCATCTCTGTAATATGATATTTCTTGGGCTGATCTAACATCATGACTGAATTGATAGTTATCCCGCCATTGTTTACTTAGTGTAGTACAATTCTAGCTCTGGCCTCTAGGTTAAGGGCTTCTATCCAAGCTCTCCATTTGGAGGCATGGAACACGCAGTCATCCTGATAGCCATTGAACAAATTCATGATTATTTTTTATTTCATGACCTTGGTATTGTCAACTGTTAATTAATGTGGAAGTTTTGAACATCATTTGTGTATAAAAGTATTCTCTAAACCGCAGTTCCATACTCTGCTATTCCACACTGCTACTCTTGACTCAATTGCAGAACGCAGAATTAAGTTGATAATAATTTGGGCATTAGATTGTGACTATCAGATTCATATTAAGCATCTCCTTTTTGCTACTTGAAGCTTGTTATAGGATTTTTTATGGAATGCTTACCTGATGTTACTGGATTTGTTTGTTTTGTCTTATGATCCTTTCTGCAGGCCAATTCAGCCCACAAACTTCAAGATGCTGATGGAGGAATATGTTAGCCTCTGCACAGGCATGCTTTCCATGGCAACCAAGCTTTCTTCCCTTGTTTACCCTTTCATACTCTTCTAGTTATAACTTTTGTTTCTTGTTGCTTTCAGAACTTTCAAGAAATATAATGCGTGGAATCGCTTTAGCACTGGGTGGTTCACCATATGAATTTGAAGGTGAAAGAGCTGGAAATGCATTTTGGGTGATGCGGCTCATTGGTTACCCGGGTGTACACTCTGCTAATGGCTCAGACATTCCAAAGGACGTTGGATGGTAAGGCAATATTACTGCCTTTTGTGCTTGCACTTTTCCCTTAACATTTGGGTACATAAAGTGATGTTCTTTCTTTTTCTTTTCCCCGTTGCTCTTCTTTTGTTCCTTTGGCCGAACATTTCCAGTGGAGCTCACACTGATTATGGTAAAGTTACTTCACTCTTAGATATGCGAAGCGTAGAAAATCAATAAATCAATATCATCTAATGTTGGTCCATTGCAGGTTTGTTGACATTGGTTAATCAGGATGACGATATAACTGCACTTCAGGTAATCTGATTAAAACTCCGTTTCATTTATGTATCAGTAAGCAATGGCTTGAGGCCAAGTAAAAGACGCAGTCTTTGTGCGAAGTGTTCTTTACAAAGCGAAGAGAAATTTCCATTTCTAGACTATGTTCTGTTTGTATCCTTCTACTCTAGTTTCCACAACAGTTGAGTTCAATGACTTATTGAAGGTGAGAAACCGTTCGGGCGAGTGGATATCAGCTCCTCCTGTTCCCGGAACATTTGTCTGCAATATTGGAGACATGTTAAAGGTAATATTAATCTGTGCAATTAATTCTTCCTAATTTCTGTACCAACACCTGGATTTAGTACCAAGTCATTCTCATCTCTGAAATAAGTGCAGATTTACTCAAATGGTTTATATGAGTCCACTTTGCATCAAGTTATCAACTCCTCCCCAAAATACCGGGTCTGTGTGGCATATTTCTATGAGGTGTGAAGATTGCCTGTTTATTTATTCACTCGTCCTTTCCTCTTCTTCATTTATGTATTGTGTTTTACACACGTTCCTTCAATTTTAGCCTTCTCTTGGCTGTTATTAATCTTTCGCTGCTGATCTCCCTCCAAATGCTTTTGTTGCGTGAACAGACAAATTTCGATACAGCAGTGGAGCCTCTGGATATTTGTAAAGAGAGGACAACTGGAGCTAAGAAATTTGAAAGAGCTGTTTACGGAGAACATTTGGTTAAAAAAGTCCAAACAAACTTCGTTTATTAGTTGAAATTTAGTGTATAAAACAATAAGTCATTATTGTATCGAGTCAATGAGCTCGGGTAATTTGGTGAAACTAGTTTTCTTCTCGGTTTCTTTTAAGAAAATATTCGTTGGTTTCATATTTGTTGTCATGAGATTTGAACTTAATACCTACTCAAACAAACTGGACAACGAAATGACACTCGAATTCGCAGTGAAACTAGTTTTGAAATTGGTAACGTTGAATGGGTACGGTAATGTTGAATGGCGACGACCACCCGCGTAGATTGTGGCATTCTATTTAGTAGGGATTGAATTGAACAAGTCTTCATTTTGGTCCCCCGAACTTGATCATACACTAAATACAACATATAAACAAACCCAGAGGCCAAACTGAAAGAGTACAGGCTACAACAATCATACAAGACATTCCACAAATTGAGTCGAAATACAGAGAATCAATACCCTTCTCCCACAATGGGATGTTAATACAATTGAGGTTTCTCCCTTTCTTTTTAAGGGCCAGACTCAAATACGCTAAATCATCACCACAAAAGAATGTAGTATGGTAAATAAATAGACGCTCTTCATCTCCTCCTATATCAGTTTATATCAGTTGAATTAAAATTAAATAAGAGCCACGAAACCTGATTGCTAAAAGATCATCTCTGTAATATGATAATTCTTGGGCTGATCTAACATGACTGAACTGATAGTTATCCGGCCATCTTTTACTTAGTGTAGTACAATTCTAGCTCTGGCCTCTAGGTTAAGGGCTTCTATCTAAGCTCTCCATTTGGAGGCATGGAACACGCAGTCATCCTGATAGCCATTGAACAAATTCATGATTATTTTTTATTTCATGACCTTGGTTTTGTCAACTGCTAATTAATGTGGAAGTTTTGAACATCATTTGTGTATAAAAGTATTCTCTAAACCGCAGTTCCATACTCTGCTATTCCACACTGCTACTCTTGACTCAATTGCAGAACGCAGAATTAAGTTGATAATAATTTGGGCATTAGATTGTGACTATCAGATTCATATTAAGCATCTCCTTTTTGCTACTTGTTTCAAGCTTGTTATAGGATTTTTTATGGAATGCTTACCTGATGTTACTGGATTTGTTTGTTTTGTCTTATGATCCTTTCTGCAGGCCAATTCAGCCCACAAACTTCAAGATGCTGATGGAGGAATATGTTAGCCTCTGCACAGGCATGCTTTCCATGGCAACTAAGCTTTCTTCCCTTGTTTACCCTTTCATACTCTTCTAGTTATAACTTTTGTTTCTTGTTGCTTTCAGAACTTTCAAGAAATATAATGCGTGGAATCGCTTTAGCACTGGGTGGTTCACCATATGAATTTGAAGGTGAAAGAGCTGGAAATGCATTTTGGGTGATGCGGCTCATTGGTTACCCGGGTGTACACTCTGCTAATGGCTCAGACATTCCAAAGGACGTTGGATGGTAAGGCAATATTACTGCCTTTTGTGCTTGCACTTTTCCCTTAACATTTGGGTACATAAAGTGATGTTCTTTCTTTTTCTTTTCCCCGTTGCTCTTCTTTTGTTCCTTTGGCCGAACATTTCCAGTGGAGCTCACACTGATTATGGTAAAGTTACTTCACTCTTAGATATGCGAAGCGTAGAAAATCAATAAATCAATATCATCTAATGTTGGTCCATTGCAGGTTTGTTGACATTGGTTAATCAGGATGACGATATAACTGCACTTCAGGTAATCTGATTAAAACTCCGTTTCATTTATGTATCAGTAAGCAATGGCTTGAGGCCAAGTAAAAGACGCAGTCTTTGTGTGAAGTTTTCTTTACAAAGCAAAGAGAAATTTCCATTTCCAGACTATGTTCTGTTTGTATCCTTCTACTCTAGTTTCCACAACAGTTGAGTTCAATGACTTATTGAAGGTGAGAAACCGTTCGGGCGAGTGGATAGCAGCTCCTCCTGTTCCCGGAACATTTGTCTGCAATATTGGAGACATGTTAAAGGTAATATTAATCTGTGCAATTAATTCTTCCTAATTTCTATACCAACACCTGGATTTAGTACCAAGTCATTCTCATCTCTGAAATAAGTGCAGATTTACTCAAATGGTTTATATGAGTCCACTTTGCATCAAGTTATCAACTCCTCCCCAAAATACCGGGTCTGTGTGGCATATTTCTATGAGGTGTGAAGATTGCCTGTTTATTTATTCACTCGTCCTTTCCTCTTCTTCATTTATGTATTGTGTTTTACACTCGTTCCTTCAATTTTAGCCTTCTCTTGGCTGTTATTAATCTTTCACTGCTAATCTCCCTCCAAATGCTTTTGTTGCGTGAACAGACAAATTTCGATACAGCAGTGGAGCCTCTGGATATTTGTAAAGAGAGGACGACTGGAGCTAAGAAATTTGAAAGAGCTGTTTACGGAGAACATTTGGTTAATAAAGTCCAAACAAACTTCGTTTATTAGTTGAAATTTAGTGTATAAAACAATAAGTCATTATTGTATCGAGTCAATGAACTCGGGTAATTTGGTGAAACTAGTTTTCTTCTCGGTTTCTTTTAAGAAAATATTCTTTGGGTTCATATTTGTTGTCATGAGATTTGAACTTAATACCTACTCAAACAAACTGGACAACGAAATGACACTCGACCAAATGGTCATTCGCAGTGAAACTAGTTTTGAAATTGGTAACGTTGAATGGGTACGGTAATGTTGAATGGCGACGACCACCCGCATAGATTGTTGCATTCTAGTTAGCAGGGATTGAATTGAACAAGTCTTCAATTTGGTCCCCTGAACTTGATCAAGCACTAAATACAACATATAAACAAGAGTAATGCTATTTGGACACACAACATTGACGCATTTAGTTGACACCTGCTGATGTGTCAATGTATCATTCGCTGAACAGAAAACGAGGAGAAAAGAAGAGCAAATAATACATTGACACATCAACGGGTGTCACTAAGTGTGTCAATGTTGTGTGTCCAAATAGCATTACTCTATAAACAAACCCAGAGGCCAAACTGAAAAGGAGTACAGGTTACAACAATCATACAAGACATTCCACAAATTGAGTCGAAATACAGAGAATCAATACCCTTCTCCCACAACGGGATGTTAATTCAATTGAGGTTTCTCCCTTTCCTTTCAGGGGCCAGACTCAAATACACTAAATCATCACCACAAAAGAATGTAGTATGGTAAATAAATAGGCGCTCTTCATCTCCTCCTATATC